AGCATCATGGAGAATCTCTGGACCTTCTGGCCTCAGGTCTCTGCCTCACCCCTCACTGCGTGCCTGTTATGGCCCACCCCACGGTTCAGGTGCTTTCCCAGTGATGGTTTGGACTTCTGGTCTGGAGGTTTACCTTTACTTCTTCCTCAGTATGGTCCCCCAGGTCGATCTCCACAAACATAGATGGTTTCTATGGATGGAAGCAGTCATTTGTGAGTGAGCTTGGATGAACACAGACTTGGAAGGAGCTGCAAGTTTCTGTCTCACGGACATTTAGGTCTGAGGGCTTCCACCAGATTCTGGTGATGATAAAGGGTTCCTGTGAAGCGTGGCAGAGCCCCATGGTAGCCCAGACAGCACCATGTCCAGAGGTTTGCTCTGGGCAGGAGAGGGAGGAGTGTGGCCTTCTGACCCATTCCTAGTCATTGGAAACAAGTATTGGGGTTCCAAGGACTTCTTCCTCCTAGCACCTTGAGTGCTAGGCAGGTGACAGGGTGCTGTGAGACCTGGGGACCCCTCCCCAGCCCTGATCTACTGGCAGCACATGGATCACCTCCCTGTATTTGCCTAGAGCTAAGCTTCACTGATAGGGTCTGCTACAAGATGAGATGTTCCAACAGTTCAGGGCATGCTACTGCGGCCTCCGTTTGGCACCTGGGCTCTTCCAGGATCTTACCAAGGGGCATCTGCTGTAGAGTCCCAGGGAAAAATGTGGCCCACTGTCAACGTTCCCTGTCCCGTGGCCTGGGAAGGAGGACAAGGCTACCTTCCTTCACGAAGGTCACTGTGAAATTCCGAATTCAGTATGATGCTTGCACAGAAGACACAACTCAGTGGCCAAGGTCAGGGGTGCCCTCAGTCAGCACACCTGGGTGAGAGGCTCTGGGGTTATTACCATGGGCCAAGCTCGACTGGAAGGTGGAATCTTCTCAAGACCCACAGTTTTAGTGACTTAGTGTTCACAAGTTAGGGCAGGATGCAGCAGGATCGGGCAGCAAAGCCCTGGGCTGGTTCCCTGACCCCCTTCCTGGCCTGGTTGGACAGCACAGCACCTGCTCGGGTGGCTTTATGGATTACATGCCAGTGTGTGCACTGCCCCCTGGGAGTTGTGGAGACACACACAGACAGGCTGGCACATCTTAACTCCTGTGGCTGAAGAAGCGCTTGCCTGTTTTTCTAGCAGGGGATTCAGCTTCGTGGACTCTGACTCCTGCTCCTACAAGTCCAAAAAGATAGCAACAGGTGAGTACAGGGGACGCCACACAGGCGGACCGTGTGCGCAGAGCTGCCCGAGGCCTGACCTCGGCCACTGAGGTCACTTTGCAGGCGTCATCCTGTTTCCCTGTGGCACTGGACTCTGAGTCACTCTTGGCTGTGTCTGATTTCCCAGTCTTGTGGTCCAGTTTCCCCGGCTCATCCTGGTTCTTTTTCTTTCTGTCTTCCTCTAGGCTCGCCTGACTAGAGATAAATGGGATAGTCAAAAAAAGCAGTTTGTAATAAGTGTCCTGACAGGAGTCACTTGCTGTCACTCTGGCTCCTCCCCTAAGGCTAGGACAGGGTAAGCCTGTGGCCCTCCCTATTTCCCTAAGAACTCAACTTGTCTGGAGACACCATTCCTTCCGGGCAGAGACCCGGGGGCTGTGGGGATCAGTGGGCTCATCTTTGTCTGCCACTCATGTCTTTAGTGGTCCCTACCCCATGTGACGGGGGGGTGCAGCAGGAACAGGGAACGTATGTCCTTCCTCACCATTGCTAGAGGCAAGACTCAGATAGCTCCTGGCTTTTGACATGTTTTGGGGGGCACCATCCAAAGGCCTTCCAGGCTCCACTCCGTCCTTTATCTGGGACTAGACAGCTGCTACCAGCCTATGTGACCTTTTGGTAGCTAGTTCTATCAACCAATGACACCTTCAGGGACTTCTTAGTTGCCAACAGCCTTCCACCTCAGTATTTTCTGGTTTAGCAGGTTCTACTGGTGTTGGCTCATGGGAGATCATTTGTAAACAGCCAGCCTGGTCTGTGCCTGGTCTGCAGTGAACAGACTGGGGTCTGAGGAGAAACCCTTGGGTTCAATGACATTTAAGTCCCACAGAAGGCATGATAGAAAGTGCAGAGAACTGGCTCTGTGTTTTGTGGCCTGACATCCTGTTCTATCTGACCAATAGTGAGGCTGGTTAAATACCCTCCCAGCTCAGCAAGGAGACCGCAGTGGGCCCAGTTGATATGAGACAGGGTGGAGCTCCCTTTCTGGGAGAGGCACATGGAGACGTTGGTTGAGGCACTTCCACCCAGCCATCTGGAGGCCAGACAAGCCCCAGCCAGAAGGGCTACCTAGGAAGTGAGCGGGGCTGTCTGCAGTTCAGAGACGCGCGCTGGTGGCTCCTGTCATTAAGATGAGCCCCTTGGCTAAAGAGAGTCCGCAACCCTTCCAATCATCCCTCCACTAAAAGGGTTCCATTTCCTCTTGGGAGGCCTCCTCCCAAGGCCTGACCCTGAAGGAGGCCTCCACCCCGCCTCCCACTACCTCAGCCCTCATGTTTCACTTACCAGATAGCCTCATCAGTGTTACTTCTTAGGTCTTTCCCTTGGTCCTCAGACTCTGAGGAGCAAGGACAGTGGTTAGTACATGAGCAGTCCAAGGTAAGATGCTTCCGCACCCAGGGCCTTCCCACAGTCTGCTGCCTCACAGGCTCACTGTCCTGCCTGGCTCTCCTCTCAGGGCAGGTTCAAGGCCAGCCTGAGGGTGAACAGTGATGGCTTGGAAGACTTCCTTTTCTTTGGCCATGCTTCAAGCACACTTCCATTCTATCAAGTGCCTGGGCTTGAGCTTCAAGCCCACCTCATGCAAGCCCACCCTCTTGCTCTATTACTCTCCACCTGTGAGCCAGGCAGGGCACTGCAGGACTTCTGGAACACACCCACAGGCCCTCAAATCTTCCTTATCCCAGTGTGGATTACTGGAGTGGCAGAGTAGGAGTCAAGGGACCCCACAAGATGGCTACTTGCTGGAGATGGGAAGGCTTGTTCAGGACCATCCTGGCTACTGATGGATGCCTCCTAGCTCTGAGGGCCATCACTGGGCTGACCTCTATTATCCTCTATCCCGTGGGACAGGAGGTACCTTGAATGTGTTCAAGGCCCAGGGGACCCTAACAAGTTGACATGAATTGCCTAGCTTCAGGATAGTAACTGCAGGGAACAATTCCAGGTGATCCTGGGACATGCTGGTTGGTCTGTGAGCTGTCCCCTAGCATGGCATGCTCCTTCTGCATTTAACTCCTTCCTCTCAACTTCTGGGGACGAGGCTGCCCAGCACAGTATCTAAAGGAAAGATTCATGCCGAAATGCTTTATTTAGGCCTCATTCTGGACTCTCCCCCAGTATTGCCATCTGTGCCAGAGCTCAGCATGGCTGGCTGCTATTATCTGATCCTCACTATGGCTCTGGGACTCAGAAATTCCAAAGTGTTAAAGAAGGGTTCTGATAAAAAACCAAGCCCAGAGACTGGGTCAGGGGGCTGCCCTGTTCTGGAGGGTTTCCTCACAGAACCGGCTATCCCTTTCCTTGGGGTTAGCTTGCAGGCCAGTTGAGGCCAGTTCAGGAGAAACTTCCTCACCATTCGTTCTCTCTCCATCCATTCCCTCCCTTCCCCCCCCCCCCCACTGTCCTTCACAGGCACGTTGGGTGCTTTGCAATCTGCCTCCTTCCCATAAGGGAGCCTGTCCCTTCCTATGCTCAGCACACCTAGCATTGGCCTGTGCCATGTGTCCCCTCCCTCAGGAGGCCTTGTGCTTGACCTCTGTTGCCTGCGGTGCTGGACTCAGGCTTGTGGACACCTGTGGATGGCAGCTGCCTACCCCAAAGAGAGAAGCAGGAGGCTGAGGCCCTTTAGCTTAGGGGTGAGGGTGGGGCCGTTACACAACTTTGCACCTTAGAAGCTCTCACATCCCCCAGGGAAAGAAAAGTCAGACTTCAGTCCCATCCCATCGAAGATGAGTCTAAAGTATCAGCTGGGCTCAGTGGCACACACTTGTAATCCCAGCACTCAGGGAGGCAGAGGCAGGTGGAGCTCTGCCTGGTCTACTAAGCGAGTCCAGGACAGCTAAGGCTACACAGAGAACCCCTGTCTCAGAAAAAAAAAAAGTCAAAACGATGAAAAGAGAGCCAGGATTATTTAAAAATGGACGGGAAGGGCTGGAGAAATGGTGTTAAAAGCACCAGCTGCTCTTCCAGAGGTCCAGAGTTAGATTCCCAGCACTCACATGGGGACTCCTAACTCTAGCTCCAAATCCAGGGGACCCAATGCCCTCTTCTGGTCTGCACTGCACTGCGTGTACACCGGGCAGACATGCAGGCAAAACATCCGCAGACATATACAGTAAAATAAAATAGACACCCTCCAGCAGCTCCACCTGAGCACACAGGTACACGCACGCCTTAGAAGATGCTGACGATTAGGAGAGTCTCCTAGCTCTGATCCTCCCCACTAAGCGCACTTAGCAAAGAGTAGTAAAGAGAAAGGCAGGGTTTCAACTGCTTGGAAACCAACTACCTTCTAACGGAAGTGTGTCCTGCATGATGCGCAAACACTACTTCCTGGAGTCTGGGCCAGGTCTGCCGGCCCTCCCAGCCCTCCAGGAGGGAGCCACCTCCTACCTAGCTCCTTGTGTAACAGTGACTTCCTGATGCAAACTGCTGGGTCCCCCTTCTGGTGCAAGCCGCCCATGCTCCTGCTCCTCTGCAGTTCAGCCCCATCACAGGCCACCTTGAGGTATCCAGGGCTTAGTCCTGAGGGTAGGGCTCCAGGCCCAGGCCTGTGCCTCCTGTGCGTGATTGGATCCTTTTCCATCCTGAGCCAGAGGGGACAAGGGGAGCCACCAGCACAGCCTCAGACCAGGGACATCTCTGCCAGCCTCTCCCTGTCTCTCCTCCAACAAAGTGGTCCAGTGCACGATGCAACTCTCCGTTGCTACGGCGCTGCTGTGACATCACAAGTTAGAGCTGAGTGGTTGTCGAGGGCAACCCCAGGGGTCCCTGCAGGCTCGAGGCTTTTTGAGTGGTTTGGGGGCTGCGGCTTTTCTGTACTTCTGGATGCTTCACCAGCCAGGGCCTTCCAGAAGGCAGTGCCTCACAGCTGTGTGCTCCTGATGCCTGCACTGTCTCTCATTTGAGAATCTTCTTTTTTCTTCAGAGATGAGCACAACGGGAAGCAAAGCCAGGACAAGGGTCCTGGAGCAGCGTGATCTGATTTACACCCAGGCCAATGGGTCAGAACTCAGCACCCAGAGCAGGCCTTGGTGGAAGACATTTTTTAGTAATTTAAATTACACTGACATAAAAGCCTGCCAGTACAGAACGCAGCCTCGATGGCTTCAGTGGGAAAAATGTCTCCTAGCTGAAGGTTGGAGGGTTAGATCAAGGAGGGGCTGTCTCCCCTGCAACCTCTTTCATGGTCTACAGATGTCATCTTTCTCGGGGCTGTTCCCCAATCTGGCTTCATCTCGGTTATGACAGCGAGCACGCTGGACTGGGGCTCCCCCTAGTGTCAAAAGAACACACAACTCTCCCCTCAAAGGAGATAAAGGTTTATTTTGGAGCTAAATACAAGTGGCCACCTCTCAGAGCACATTCAAATGACCCCCAACTCCGTGCTCCAACATGAGAACAGTTGGTCAAAGTTTCCTTTCTGAGTGCAGGTGCTGGCATGGTCCAGAGACGCTGTTGGGTCCCCTGGAGTTGAAGTTTCAGGCAGTTGAGTTGAGCCATCCGAGTTGGGAACTGAGCTATCTTCACCCCCCCCCCCCGAGGTTTTCTATTAGTAGGACAACAAAAGTCATAAACAAAGGCACTTCTCAAACACACTGGTGGGAATATTAAATAGATGGGCTACAAAACCAGCTCCGGGCCTTAGCTGCTATCCGATGGCATTCTTAGCCTTTTGGTTGGGGGACACTGGAGTTCCGTCAATACATTCCAAAAGGTTGCACCTGCTAGTCACAGACGCTGGGAAGGAATGGATATTAAGGTGGCCAAAGAGAGCCCAAGACAGATGATCATTGTGCTCTGGACCTGTGGCATTGCAGCGCACCCAGAGTCGTTGAGGTTCTTAGGAACTAGACTTGAGAAGGGTCACTATAAGGTTCCAGTCCACGCAGAAGCTCTCACTCCCAAGCCCCTCTACTGGCCAAGCACATTTGTGCCTACAGGGCCACTATTTACTGTTCATCACGAATGTCCCATGTCTACAGGGAAGACTCCCTAGGATTTGGTGTAGGTAATTAGCTGAGTAGTAGTCGGGAGAGCAGGCTGTATGAGAGGGGAAAAACTAGTAAAACTATTAAGAAAGAAACTCTTAGATGCAAGAAACTCTTGGGTCATATCACCAAAATCTACTAGCAATCATGATTTGGATCGGATGTTTTTTTTAAATCTTTTGTGTTTGACATAATGTGACATCTAATAGTAATATCCCTAACACAAAAATAGTCCAGAACATTATCTCACTAAACAGAGTGAGGGTACAGATGAGGAAGACGGGTACTCTAAACAAACAATTCACTAGATTGACTTTGTGTTTCCCATGTATTTACAGCAATTTAAACACTATGAACTGTTTTGTCTTTGGAGTACTTAAATTATCTTCTTTTTAAAATTTATTTCTTTTTATGTATATGAGTGTTCTATCTGCATGTACACCTGCATGCCAGAAGAGGGCATCAGATCCCAGTATAGATGGTTATGAGCCAACATGTGGTGGCTGGGAATTGAACTCAGGACCTCTAGAAGAGCAGCCTGTGCTTTTAACTGCTGAGTCATCTCTCCAGTACCCTTACATTATCTTTTAATTTTAATTTTTCTTTTGGCCAAATTGATCATACAGCTACAACTTGTTCTGGTGGCAGGCTCTAATTTTTAAGAAAATTGGTCTTTCTCTAGGTCCTTTGGGTTTATAGCATAGATATATATTATGGCTTTCAGTTTAGTATTTCTATAGAGCTCCTGAATGTGTGTCTCTGATTCTTGTGCCTTCTCTTGGGCTCTTTTTGTTCTGTTGGTTTGCCTTGTCAACTTCAATGTGATGGTTTTTGTTTTATCTTACTATATTTCATCATATTTAGTTGTTATCTCTTAGAAGCCTGTCCTTTTTTAATGAGAGATGAACAGGAGTGGATCTGGGAGGGAGGGTAGGAGAGGAGGAAATGGGAGAAGTAGAGGGACTTGAAACTGTAATCAGGATATACTGTATGATAAAATAGTCTATTTTTAATAAAAATAGAAAAAGTAAAAATTGGTCTTTAATATCTAAATTATCATAATGCTCACCTGTGGATACTATTACATTGGCATTGTACCAGACTTACCTGAGGAAAGTAAATAGAAAGTCACCTTACAGAAGAGATTTGATAACAATGTAGTATTCCTTTGAATTTTCTTTTAACAAGATTATCTTTTCCCATGGACTAAACATGATTTGTAACAATTATAAAAATGACAGATCAGACCTACTAGAATAGAAGGCACCGATTTCTAATAATAACAGTATTCATGACATTTTATACCTTAAGTGCAGATGTTTCTTTATTAAATGAATTAAGGTATTCTATAATGAAAAAAAAATAGCCCAAGAGAAATTGTAATTAGGCTTGGGACCTGCAACATCCCAACTTCTCTACCCTCACGGAAGTCATCAGTTAATCAGCCTTGCAGGAGGCTGTCAGAAGTGCCTGTGTCATTCTTTCTAGGAACTTTGATTCACACTAGGGACCTTATTTCACTTTCACAACTTCCCAAGACACCCTTCTCAGACACCGTCATGCCTGAGGGTTTTGGTGTTAGGGCACAACTCCACCTACCCAGCCTCACAGAGGATCCCTGGTTCACTGCTCCAGTGCACAGCCAACTACAGCTGGGGGAGGGGCGTTCTTACTCTCCAGGGCTTTTGGTTGGGCCGGAGAATTAAACTGACCCAAGGTATATTCAGCAGGAAGAAATTTATATAAATTTATTTTCCTGGCATGGGACCTGTGCTGGTTAGGTTTTGTCAGCTTGACACAAATACATCGGCATTAAACCATAAATTTCCCTTTGTTGTTTGTCCCCAAGATGTCGTGTTAATATCACAGTAGAAAACACAGCTTAGCTTTTCAAAGCCCCACAGTCTTTTAACAATTCCAATAATTTAAAAGTTCAAGTTCTCTTTAAAAGTCCAACATCTCTTTAAAAATCCGAAGTCTCTCAACTGGAGGCTCTTGTAAAGTAAATAACTTACGTATTTTTTTTTTTTTTAATTCCAAGATGGAAGAACCAGCCTAGTTACAATTAAAACAAAGCAAAAGCAAAATTAAATAGCTTAGGGCCTGAAATCTAGGACTCACATACGATTTTCTGGGCTCCAAAGGGCTTGGCAGATCACATTCTTCCAGGCAGTGCACAGCTCAGCAGCTCTCTGTCCCTGCCCCCGCCCCCACCTGAGTTTCTACCTTGCCTTCCCAGTGACCAAATCCCCAAGCTGCTGTTGGTCATGGAATAAGAAGCAAACTAAAAAAAAAAAAGGTTCATAAGGAATGAAGCCTGAAGTAGCAAAATAATGTTGTTGTTGTTTTCTATCTGGATGAGAAGAGTGGTGAGGGCATTGTGTGGAGGGAGGGGGGGAGGACAGACATTGTGTGGAGTTGGGGAGAGAGGACAGACACTCTGAGATCCACTCCTAAGAGCTCACTGGCAGACAAGGGGCCAAGGAGCAGGGCCAGCCCATCCTTGCTCCACTCCACATTCTTCTGTGGCCAGAGAAGGCTGACCAGAGACCCACGCCAGCCTCCCCGTCCTGAGAAGCCTTTTGCCCTGAGTTCTTGGCCCCAGAAAGTTCCCAGAGAACTGTCAACTAAGTGTTCTCCAGACTTTTCTTCTAATGGTCCAGACTCAAAATGGAAGTAAAAGGGAAGAGAAATGAGTGAAAACCAAATGGAGGAGAGAGGGATACGGGGATTAGGTGCTGCGATGGTGGTGTCCCTCCTTCAAGGGAAGGGCCACACCCTGTCCCATCACTCTCCGGCTCTCCCAAAGGCCCCTGCTTGTTCTCTCTACAGACTTTTGCTCTGACGGCTGCCCACTGCAACCTTGGAGACATGGGAAAGATTTGGCTTCCCTCCTCCCCTAGCTGTCTCCCAGTACATGGGACCTCCTAGGGGTGCCTAATGCCGTACCGCTTTTGAGGGCACCATAAAGCCAGGTTGTCATACAACGTCATTCACGGACATACATGTGTTAGAGACTTCACATGCTATCAGAAATGCCACATGTCATCAGAGACACCACCTATCTGGTCTGACAACGATGCTATCAGCCTTTATCTGCCACCCCTCTCTGTAGGGAGCCTCTTCATGTGAGCCCCTTGTGGAAAGCCAAACCACTCCTCAGAAAGAATAAAACATCTGTTTTAATTGACCAGTAAAATACATTGCAAATCGTTAGTATCTTATAAACAGAGACATTAAGTTACAAACCCATGTTAAAAATAAGTTCAGTGCAGCCTCACTGCTGTGTCCAAATTTTTGTTTGTTTGTTTTTTATCCTCCACTTCTGTGACAACCAATACTACTATCATGTTTTTTCTAGACGCAGAGTAAACTTCCCAACAAGAACGAGGAGAAGCTGGTACCGGGATGGACGGTTCTGTCCTGAAGCAGCATCTGCCCACAGAGCGCCTCTCGTGGAGATTCGGTTTGGGATGGGGCTCCAGCAGCACTGTGGGGCACAGCCGAGGCAGTCTGTCTTGTCTGTTTCAGCACTCTCCCAGCCCGATCAAAATGGCTCCCAACACTGCCACGCGCAGCCTGCTGGGCTCAGGAACATGGGCGTTGGAAATGACCATGTTTGGCCTTTACTGCTGACGGTGCAGCCTCCAGCCCAGGGCTCCAGCCCTGAGGACCCTTTGGCTTCGTGAGGAATCAAATACTGTTCCCTTTGGATTTCCCTGTGCCATCCCCTTTAATGCATATAGGTGTTAATGTTCCAAACTGTCTTATATCAAAATGCTTTTTAAAAACAACCCTTTAAGAACATTAAGAAAAACAGCTTGAAAAATGCACATTTTAAAAATCTTTCCCAAACTTTCATGTGGACTCTAGTTTAAAACCTCACCTGGAATCCAGACCTGTGTTCAAACTGAGGGTGACGGTCACCCAGAGAAGGCTGGGCTCATAGCCCTCCCTCTCCAGGGACGCTGAAAAAGGGACCCCATGTCCCCAAAGTCAAAGGCTTCCAGCACCATCCTGTCTATTCCAGCCACAAAACAACCCTTTCGCCAGGAGCAAACCAACAAAGCTGAGGAGAAAGGCTGCCTGCCTGCTGGCTGCCAGGAAAATACTGCTTCTAACATCCCAGACAGGGACTAAGTAGAATGACAGGATTAAGTAGAATGTCTAGGGCTAGGACCAGACTGCTACATGAGTAGAGCCACAGAGATCAGCAGGCAAAGAACAAGAGACAGGGCCCACTGCAGAAGGCGCACATTGCCGAAAGTGGACTAGCTGGGCCTCTCTGAAGAGGGGTTGCGCTACGTGGAAACAGGTTTCAACAAAGTCCACACTTCCCTAATATTTAACAGATCCCTGGATCCCCGTAAAACCAAAGTAGTAAAAAGACAAATGATCATACATTCCAGAATGGCTCAGACCACCTGTGCTGGCAGCCAAGGGGAGCGCATAGCCCAGGCAACAGTTCCTGCCAGGGAAGAGCTTGCTTGGCTCGCAGCGGCCCCACCAGTGTGGCAGGACCCACGTGAGCAGGCAAACGTGGTTCCCCTCCGTGTATATCTTCTGTGTTCCTTTATCTGCTTTTGAAGGTGGCTGGTTTCCCGGGGTGGCTCAGCGGCACTGTTCTGGGAGGTGCTCGGCCTTAAATGGAATGGGTGGAGATCTCAGACTGCTGCCTGATGTAGTTCTGGAAGCAGCTCTTGTCTCCGATGGGGTGCTCCCTGGAGAGACAAGAGGAGAGGAAGTGAGGCCCTGTTCCCAACAACCAACCAGCACTGTACTTTCAATGTGCCCATTTGGCGCCGTAACACATGCTCAGGGAAGCGCAGACCACAGAGAGCGGAGCCAGGGCCGACCCCAAGGGAGCGCCACGACTCTGGTTGCTCCTGTGCCCGGCACATACCACAGGCTGCACATGTGTGGATCTCGTGTGTGGAGCACATACATTTAAGACATGCTCACGGCATGCACATCCACGTGGGCTGCTCATTCTGACCGTGCGTGGCCAACACGCACAGAGGTGCGCACGTGTCAGTGTGGACATGCCGGCTGGGTACACACACGTAGACTGCACAAAGTAGGCAGCGCAGGCAGGATGCGCACATATGTGTTCTGGGAGGGTCCGGTTTTGTCCTCCTGTGTGCCAGTGAATGCCCTATGCTGGAACAGGGCCTGGAGCATTGTGGGTGCTTGGCAACTGTTGCTCAGTGGTGAGTGCACACCTCACCTCCCTCCATGAGAAAGGGAATAATGCCTCTCCCTGTTCTTAGCTCGTGAGCTTTGGACTGTGAGGCTGACACACATGTTTAATATGAACAAGGCAATGTTCCCTGAAGGTAAATGTGCATACCACCACCAGCGAGTCCAAGGGGCTCTGGTAGGATGATGAGAATGGTTGGGAGCAGGTACAGGAAGGTCTGAGATGGAGATCAGCCCACCTGCAGATGCTCTGGGTACCTGGGGGCAGCAGGGACATGGGCCGCAGGCACCTCAAGAGTCCCTGCGGCTGGGACTGGGCCCTATTACTGTTTGTGAGCATTTCTGTGTCTTCCCCTGGGGGACAGGTGACATTGGGAGGGCACAGGCCCTTAAGGGCTATGCCATGGGCACTTCCTGAGAGGCTCCAAGCAGGCCTTAGGTGGACGGAGTGCCAAAGCAGCTGCTGAATGGAGTTAAGCAGTTGTCCTAGCCTTTACGGAACTAAACTCCATCTTTTCCAACTCTTCAGCCGTGAAGCTTGACCCACTTGGGGCCATGTGGCTAGGGCTGGTCACACTGAATGCTCCCATCTGGCTTGGGTCCTCCACTGCTATACTCCTCCCACCTCAACCAGGGGCAAGAATGCAGTCAGTTTAGTGACCCTGCCCTCAGAGCTCTCCATGGCCAGGAAGATGGCAAAGGGCACATGTGCTGGCAGGGGGCGGAAGGGCTGGGTCCAAGCTCCCAGCACACCAGGGAACAGAGCCGGATACCCACTCTAGAGGAGACAAAAGGCTGAGCTCAGCCCTGGCCACCAGCCTCCACGGAGCCCCCAGGACCCTCCCACACGAGGCGGGCGCTCACTGAAGGTCCAGATCTCCACATCACCCCCCACAGCCCTGGGACACCCCAGCACTCACTGGCTCCCGTATCTCGTCTTCTTGAACTTGTCCCTCCTGTACTGTGCGTGCTCCTGTTCAAGGGTCCCCACCCCAGCGATGACCTGCTTCAGCGTCTTGTAGGTCTCCTGGGGGTCGTCGATGATGAAAGTCGAGTATTCCTCCTGCTCAGGGCCGTCGTACACAGACTTGCTGCCACAGGCCTCTGGGTGTGGAGAGGACAGTTAATATGGGATGGGGCTCAGGACCCTGCTTTCTTCATCCTGTCTACACCTATTACTCCAGTGTGCTCCTCAGAGCACCCCTCCCTTTTGGTCCCTTTTTGGTCTTTTTTTTCCTTTCTCTTGTTTTAAACAGAAATAGGGGCTACTTCCTGGGTCAAGCCCCGTCCAGCCTGGAGGACCTTTGGGTGAGCTGCACAGCAAAGCTCTCTCCAGTTTGCTTTCTGAGACCTCACCCTCCATGCCTCAGGGCTGTCTCCAGCCGACCTCATAGGGGTGAGCTTCAAATCCATGTCCTGCCAGCCAGCCAGGCCAGGGGGATGCCCATACCTGCACAACGGGCTGTGCCATCTGGAGCCTACCAGGATGAACGTCCATTCTGCAGAGTACAGAGCCTGGCACACGCCACTCACCAGAGGCTTCTGGCCAGGCCGTGACAGCTACGAGCATGGCAGGACTGAAGGCCTGTCCAGCAGCGCCCACGGACCTCTGCCCTCCTGATCACTCCCACAGCAGCCATGCTTTAGCCTCTGGCCATCCAGAAAGGTCATCTAAGCACCTGAGCTGCCCTTACCCACCTGAGCTGTCCCCACCCAACCCTAAATGCCTGAGTTGGCATGCTTCTCTGTCCCAGGGACCCAGGGATGGGCACATACCCAGACTAGGTACTCGGCCCTACAATTCCACATATGTCATGGAATGAAAGTTTGTTTTCTTTCAAGGTATATGTTGAAGTCTTTCTTTTTCTCTTTCTCTCTCTCTCTCTCTCTTTCCCTCCTTCCCTCCCTCCCTCCCTCTCTTTCTTTCTTCTTTAATTTTCGCTTGTTTGCTTTGGATTTTGAGCTAGAGTAGTGGTCCTTAACCTTCCTAATGCTTCAACCCTTTAATACAGTTCCTCATGTGGTGGTAACCCTTAACCATTATTTTCGTTGCGTGCAATTTTGCTGCTATTATGAATCATAATGCAAATATCTGTGTTTTCCGATGCTCTTAGGCAACCCACCAAGCTAGAGTCTTGCGTAGACCTGACTGGCCTCCACTCAGTATGTAAATCAGGCTGGCCTTGAACTTTCTGAGGTCATCCTGATTCTGTCTATTGAATGCTTAGACTTCAGGCACATGTCACACGCCTGGCTTGTGTGTTGGAAGACTTTGCCTTTCAGTCCAGTGCCAGGAAATGGTCAGATCACAAAAGCAGAACCCTTGTGGAAGGGACTAGCTCCTCCGTGAAAAGAGGGCTCTTCCATGGCTTCAGGAGAAGTGGGAAGTCAGTGTGCCGTCAGGACAGCCCTCCCGGAACCAGCAATGTGTTGTCTGGATTACAAATGTCCCAGCCTCCAGAGGAGGGAGAAGGAAATCTCCACCACTGTGACCACAAGTGACCTGTTTGTGGCAGTCAAGAGCAACCAAGGCAGAAGAGGATGCCAATGGTGAGAGCCGCCACAGCCGCCCGAGGGTGTGAAGCAGCTCTGGCCCTGGGAGCTGCCGGGAACAGAGTTGAATAGGTGGCTCTGGTGATGGGAGGACAATGGCGGGGCCCTGTTCCTGGAACCACTAAGAGACAATGGGAAGAAAACGACAGTGGAAGCTCTTCCGCTTGGACCTCCCAGAGACTAGAAAGGAGTGACGAGTGCCGAGACAAGGTGATCTTTGTCGTGATGCAACAAAGACCCTGGCTGAACAAGGTTTGTGGTCTGCTCCATGCAAGACAGAACTTGCTCATGACGTGCCTATTTAGCTGAGGATGTTTCTAAGTGAAGAGGTGGCAAAACAGCAGGTTGCTCCAGTAAAAGCGGGAAAGAGAGAAGCAGGACAATAGAACTGTTAAACAAAAAGGACTTGGACAGCCCCCCACCCTGTACAGGAAGAAGTGTTTGGAAGGATGAGAACACTGAGGGGGACAGCCAGCCCCACCTAGCAGGATCACTGTGGTGCGAGTTTCAACCTCACCTCCTCATCTCACAGAGTGCAGGGGTCAAGACAGGGCTCAGCCAACGGAAACTGCAGCCGGACAAAGGGAGACGGCGGACAGGATGGAAGGCTGCATAACAGCTTGGGCCCTGCAGGACTGGCTACTGCAGAGCTACAGGCTGCTGCTAGACATGTTTCTCAATTTGTGAAGGAGGACCCAAAAGGCCAATCAGAGAGGTGCAGGGCTGCCCTTTAACACCCAACAAGTTAGGCCTTGAGGCGCAGTCAGATTCGGACTGCATTATTAAATTGATTTTGAACCAGAGGAGAAGATAAACTGACATAAACAGGAACAAATCAAGTTAAAAAATGAATCCACTTAGAACGAGGCAGCTTTGATTGTGAACTGGACACAATGTAAAGCCATCTGGGAAGAGACTATCAATGAGCTATTATCTAGGCTAGACTGATGTGTGTGTGTGTGTGTGTGTGTGTGTGTGTGAGTGTAGGTGTGTGTGTTTGCGAGGAAGTGTGTTT